ACTGCAGAGTGAAGAGAGAAGCAGGCTGAGGTCCAGCTCCGCCATCTATCTTGGGCAAGTTACTTAAAGTCTCTGAACCTCATTAGTAGAGAAGGGATAAGATCCGCTTCAAAGGGTTATTTTAGAGGATAAAATAAAATAAAAATGTGCTTAGCAAATTGCTAAACACATAGAAGATGCACAATCAATCACCGGCTGGGAGCAGTAGCATAGGAGGAGTAGAGACATTTGGACAAGGCAGGAAGATCAGCAGAGGGCACAAAGTGGCACACATCTTCCTTCACTGCAGAAGGAAAGTATCAGGGCAGATAGGGCTATGGGAACTGGAGGAAGCCACTCCCTAGGCAAGCTGTGAGTAGAGCCAAGCACTGAACACGATGTTTATTTTCTGATTACTTGCTGGGGTGGGGAAAAGAGCAAAAGGAGCCAACTCTTAGAGGCTGAGAATCAACAAGGAAGGGAGCTGGAGCTCCCGCTCTCTTCATGGAGGGAGAAGAAGAGGCTAGCAACTGATGGAGAGAGCTGTTGGAGTTAGGCAGGGCTCTTTGGGGAAGACGTGAAAGGTTTGGAAGAGCAACCGTATGTAGGTGAGGGAGAGAGAGTGGCCCAGATCCACGTTACAGGATGATTGAGGGATCAGGTGGAGTTAGAGACACTAAATGTAGTGAGTTGTGTGATTTTCTCCAACAGGACTTATTAAGCTGGTAATAGAACAAAAGGAAGGTGATTGTATTGGTCCAGGGCAGAAGATTTAGGAGGAAGGGGCGGCAGAAGGACAGGCTGGCAAGTGCTGAAAAGGAAGGGGCTGAAGCAATACACCATAAAGTCAAGGTTATAGAAGAAGTGAAGTGAGGTCAGGGAGAGAGAGTAGTCAGTGATGGACTCCAGGAAGAAGAAGTGTCAATAAGATGGACCAGCAGGTACAATGGGAGAAAAGTGAGGCTCAGAGCCCGGGGCATTAGATGGTCAACGTAGAGCAGTCTTGAATGGTAACCAGATTTAAAGTGGCTCCCTAATGTGAAGGGGCAAATCCTTTATGATCTGTCAAAGATGAGAAGCAATGCTAGATCAAGGTGGAAGGGGACCCAAATGTTGAATGCCTACTGTATGAGGTGCTTTATATAAACTAATATTATCCTCCCAACAGCCTTTCAAGTTGGAGATTTGTGAAAAATGGAAATGCAGACACAAATAGTTTGCCAAGGACAACTCAGACTTAATCCCAGGGCTGACCAGCTCCAAAGCCCATGTGTTTTCCACCTCCCCAGATTTCCCCAAAGAGGTGGCACTTGGGAACTTTCTAATTCATTCTTATCATGTTTCACGGTTCTCAAAGTTGGAATCTCTGACTCTTAGGATCTTGGGCAGCAAGGTAGGTTGCCTTGAGCAGTGATTAAACTCTTCTGAGCTCAGCCCTGTCTTTATTCACCGTTGGCAGGAAGATAGCCCTGGGTGAGGGCTGGAACTCTCAACTGGGCTGGTCCCCACCGCAGAGAGAGCAAATATGAAGGGAAGAGCAACAGGAAGCACCTGCACTCTCTCGTTGAAGCTCTGAATATGTTTCATGTGATTGACCTGCTCAATAAGTCACTCATTCAGCGGGAAGAAGATGTTGGAAATGGTTGGATCTGGGTTCAGATTCGGCTCCAGCACTTGAGTTGTGTGGCTTTGGATGACCTTGAACAACCTTCAGTTGACCCAGAATTAAAGGGTTTTCTGGGACATGGAAATTTCAGTGCTAAAACCAGGATATTCCCAGGCAAAAGGGGACTGTTGGTCACTCTAGACAGGCTACTCAGCCCCTCTAAGCCTCAGTTTCCAAGTATGAAATGTGGCTATCTGCTGCCCACTTCTCTGCTTCTCACCATGCGGGACTGTGCTTTTCAGAGAACACAAGAGCAAGGAGCATGGTTTCATTCTATCTGCTCAGGAGAAGTTTAAAATTGACAGCATACTCCTGCATCTGCTGAAGTTGAACTTCTGAAGTACGAAGCAACTTTTCACCAGTATTCTGCTTGGAGCCCTCTGCTGTTGCTCATGTCGTGGCCCAGACCATGAGTTGTGAGCCTCCCCAATTGATCACCCTCCCCCTGCTGCTTCTTGTTCCCAGGTGAGCGTGGCAAGGTCTAAGCACACCGTGCTCAGCAGGCAGTGTTGAGATGGAGGTTGAGTGTGCACGGATGAAGGCAGCTAGAGACACAAAATCCAGAAGTCCAGTCACGGTAACATTGCATAAGAAGAGTTCTTGAGGCTTTAGCCAGAATGGGTTGTGGAGGCATGGCAGGAGGAAAGCAGACAAAGTCTTCCTGAAGGTTGTTTCTGCTGGTGCCTGCTATTGTTTCTCTTCTTGCCTGAAGTTGGTGCCTCCCCATTTTGCCGAGGAGCCAAGTTCATAGAGATACTCAACAATGTAGAGGGTGAAGGTGTGGGCCCTTTTGTTGCTACAGAAGGGTGAGTTTCAAACGGGAAGTGAGGAGGAGTGAATGAACTCAGTAGATGTAAATTTGGCCACCCACAGTTCCCCAAAAAGTTAAACATGAAGTTATCATGAGACTAAGAAATTCTACTCCTAGGTATATACCAAAGGGAAATTGAAAACATATGTCCACAAAGAAACCTGTTCATGAATGTTCATAGCAGCATTACTCGTGATAGCCAAAAAGGGGAAACAGCTCATAAGTCTATCAACTAATGAATGGACTTAAAAAATGTAGTATATTCATGCACTGGAATATTATTCAGCTATAAAAAAGGAACAAAGTCTATAATATTATATGTCAACTGTAATTGAAAATTTAACATTTAAAAAATTTAAAAATCTCAAAGGATGAAGTACTGATTTATGCAACAGCATGGATGAAATAAAAAAAAGGCCATGTATTAAGTGATTACATTTGCATGAAATGCCCAGAATCAGCAAATCTACAGAGACAGGACGAAGATCGCGGTCGCCAGGGTCTGCAGGGAGGAGGGAATGGGGAGGGACTGCTAATGGGTACGAAGCTTCTTCTGGGGGTAATAAAAGTGTTCTGGAATTAGATCGTGGTTGTGATTGCATAGTCTCATGAATATACTTAAAACCACTGAATTGTACATTTTAAAAGGATGAAATTCATAGCATGTGAATAACAGCTTTATAGATATAATAATAAAATTCGGCCACTCAGTCCTGCTACATGTAGAAAGTACAGCAGTGGAGCGATGTCCTTAGGATCCAGCTGAAGCCCTTGTGGGAGTGCCAGAGGACAGATGTGTCTCCTGGAACCAGGACACAAGTGGGCCCTCTAGTTGGATCTCAGGTGGATAGTAAATCACAGAGGTAGTAAATCTTCCTGATGACCAGTGATGGCTAGACACATTGTGAAGGGCATGAAGCTTAATGTATTATTATTATTATTATTATTTATGCCTACAGCACCTGGTCTTTTAGGTGGTCTCCCATCCAAGTACTAACCAGGCCTGACCCTGCTTAGCTTCTGAGATCAAACATTGGGCTTGTTCAGGGTGGCATGGTCGTAGACTATGGACCGTAGCTCCACTGGGGTGCGAACCTACGACCTTCTGCATGTGAAGCAGATGTGCTTACCGCTACACTATGGAACCATGTCCACTTAATGTTTTCTTGAGAATATCTACTTCCACCAGAATCAGGCTAAGAACTCATGTGCAGTCAGGCCGGTCATACACAGGAGCTGGGAAAAGATGAGGTAGTCCCTTGGGCTCTTCTTTCACTTGGAAACATGTGGGCAACAATGTATCACGGTGTAAGGCCAGATGCCGGCCACTGAAAGCCTCAGTCTGGAATGGACCTCAGTGACTTTCCAAATGGCATCATGGCAGAGAAATGGAACCTGCAACAAGTGGTCATGTGGGCAGGGGGACCCTACACATACTCAGTTCAACTGATTGCTTCCTTGAGATTCAACAGGTCCCATTATCTCCTGGTGGGGCTGGGAGCGTCAGCTGCAATTTATGGCTGCAGAGAACTGTTGGAGTTTAGCAAGAGTGAAGGAGGCACCTGGCGGTCAGTTAGCGGTCCTTTAAGCTGAAAGAGAGCAGAATTCCAGGAGGTAGCTCACCAAACTCTCAAATTTCTGTTCCTTTGAGGATCATATACACTAGACCTGGTATCATTTGGCCCTTCTAATTGGACAGGACAGCCCTGAGCTGTGGCTTCCGGTTTTGCAAACACACGTTTCCTCAGAGTGGCTGCACTGCTGGAAAAGCCTGCTTCTTCCCTGCTCCCCTACCCCCTCAGCCTACCCCCAAATAAACCAGACAATTTTATCCAGGAAGCATTCTAAATCTCTCATACATAAAAAAGGGGCACATCATTAACATATACTGAGCCTAGCAGGAGCTTGGGCCATGTTGGTTGCTAGGGCTCAAGCCCCTGGTCTAGAATTTTCTGGTTGCTTACTCCCCCAAATAAGCCCCACGAGAGCAGGGACCATAGTTCATCGTTGAATCCCTGTACCTGGCACATAGGAGATAATAAATACTGCTTGGTTTTGCGATCTCACTAGTAGCTAAAATGTCCTCAACTTAGCTTAGGGTTGACAATTTACTTTTTAGTCCTTAAGAGGGTTCCATATCTGAAAGTAGCCAGGCTCCCCAGAGCATAATCATAGCTGTGCCCCTGACTGCAGCTCCATTCAGCTCATCCTTAGGGATTCTGACACATCCAGGCAAGCAAGAGCACAAGGACATGCACGCATACGTATGGGAGCACACCCATCTACATATACTCCAATCCACACAGGCTTCTCTTCCTGAAAATTAGGTGTCCAGCCACATTTCCGGCATGACGCATCTGCTAGTCAGCTTGACTTGGCTGCCTTTTTTTTTTTTGAAAGTTCAGGCCAATGCATCTTGATTCGTTTCTGGTAATTTTCCTTGGAATCAAGCCCAGAAGTGGAGTCACTCTAGGAGATCCTGGAGGAATAGATAAGCATCATTATTCTTGAAAGCCTTCCCGGCACACCCTTTCCACCCACCACAGAGAGAACTGCAGCTCTTCGTCTTTGAAGGCTTCCAAAAGGGCTAATGTTTTAGCGGAGCCTTGACAGACTAGTAAAAGTTGGCTAGATAAAAGAGTGTTTCGATCTCAAGGGGAAAGAGACTGTATCCCCAACACCAGTAAAGTGCCACATCACTGCGCTTTTACTGGATGGGTGGATGAATAAACAACGCACGTGAGGAAGGCAGACCGTGAGTTCAGAGAGCTTGAGTTTGTCTGAGTGTGAGGTGGTGACACATGTAGTGAAGTTGAGGCGGGAGCGGTAGGTCTGGAGCCAGATCGGGAAGGGTTTTGTGTGCTAAGCCGAGGAATTTCAACTTGATCTCGTTGGCAGCAGCATGCCCTCGAAAACTTTAAAGCAGGAAGGTGATAGGATCGGAACCGTCTTCTTAAAAGATTAACCTGCAAAAGGCCAGGCTGGGGGAGAAATGAGAGTAAGGGAAACCATATCAGGAGGCTGTCGGGACAGAGAAGGTGAGAATCCGAATAGACAGTGGCTGTGGGGAAGGAGGCGGGGGCAGACACGTGTGCAGGGTATTTTACACACACAGTCACCTAGACCGGCTGGCTGTAAAGGCGAGGAGGAGGAGAGATTCCAGGACACCCTGCACATTTCTAGGTCAGCAAACTGGGAGGTCATGATGCCGTTAGTTCAGATAGACATAAATAGGCTTAGGGGAGGGGATGGCTTTTTTAAAAAAGATTTTTATTACGAAATGTTACACAAATATAGAAAAGCATGCAAAAGAAATGTGCTATGCAGTACAATAATAATAATAACAATGCTGTTTTTTATTTATTAGGTTTGAATTACCTGTGGAGTCTAGTTGGAAATTCTGTTCTAAAACATAGTTAACAGGCCCAGGATTATATAAATGAGGACTGTTTTGGTTGCAAGTCACAGACTATCAGACATAAAGGAAAATGTGTCATAAGGACACAGGAACCTAAGACAGGAATATAGCTGGGCATTGGGAAGGAGCTGAACCAGGGACTCAAACACCGTCAGAAATCGCTCTCTCCAATGCTCCTCTCTGCCGGCCAGCTTCTTCCACTTCTCTGGTTCACATGATGGGAGAGGGACCACTGACAGTTCCTAACTTTTACATCCAACAGATTCAATCACCCGGAGAGTTGTTCAATCTCAGCTCCAAAATTCCAAGGGAAAGAACTATGGAATTAGCCCAGCACACCAGAAGCATCCAACCCAGTAACTCGTGGCTCGGTGAGGGGTGACATTGTACAAATGTGACAACTCTTATTACAACCACTCAGAAAAAACAATTCCTCAAATAGTAGCACTGGTCAAGTAATCTAGCAGATGCCCACTACAGAGCAGAAGCTGTCGGACTCCCCAGAGGATAAAAATGAGAGCGGTGGTTCTCAACCTTGGCTGTGCATTGGAATCATCTCAAAGAAAATCTTAAAGAAGGCTGATTCCTATCCCATTTACTTGGTCTGAGGTGTGGCCTCAGCCTTAGACTTTTTAAAAAGCTGCCCTGGTACTTCAAATGTATAGCCAAGGCTGAGAACTACCTAGTGTAAAGCTTTTCAAACATTCCTGGGCCTACAGATTACCTGGTATCCTGATAAGATACACCTTCTGATTTAGCAGGTCCGGGAGGAGCCTCAGAGTCTGCGTTCTGTGCACCCAGGTGATGTTGACCTTGCTAGTCCTCAGTCCACTCCAGGCAATGAGGTTCTAATGCAACACTGTCCGACAGAACTTTCTGTAGTGGCAGAAATGCTCTGTAGCTGTGCTGTCAAATGCAGTAGCCACTGGCTGCATGTGTCTCCTGAGCACTTGAAATGTAATTAGTGAGAATGAAGAACTGAATATTTTATTTAATTTGAATTAATTGGAAGAATTACATGTGGCTAATGGCTACTGTATAGGACAGAGCAGGCCTGGTGGATCTCAGCTAGGGGGAGGGCATATCTGAATCACCTGTGAGATTTCTTAACTAACTCAATGCTCTTATTGCTGCTGCATTCTTCATCCTCCCCAGTTCAGGTCCTAAAACAGTGTAATAGAATGCGGGGGTGGGGGGGAGGACTAGTAGGGTTAAATAGTGAATGCTGGAGAAGGCCCCCCTGTCCTTACTCACCTGGTGAGAACCACTGATGTAGAGTGTCCCAGTAACCTATTTCTGCATTCCAAACCACTCTAAAACTTAGTGACCTAAAACGGCGATATTTGTTTTTCTCATAAATCCATGTTTTGAGCAGGGCTCAGAGGGGATAGCTCACCTCTCCTCTACTTGGTGTCAGATGAAGTGGCTGAAGGCTGGGGCTGGGGTCATCTGAAGAGTTGCTCATTAAAGGATCCAGTTGTCAACTCTGGCTGGGACTTTAACCAGGGCAGCCACAGGTGACTTGGACTTTCTCACACATGGCGACTGCGTTCCAAGGATATGCCTCAAGTGTGGGATAGAGAGGGCCCAAGCCAGGCAGGAGCTCTACCCTTTTCTTTAACTAGCCTTGGAAGCCATGCAGTCACTTCTGCTCTATTCCATAGGAGTGAGTCACTAAGGCCAGCCTGTATCCAAGAGGCAGGAAAGTAGACTCAGTCTTAGGAGTGTCAAGGAATTTGTGGACATGTTTTAAAACTACCACATAGACTTAGGACCAAAGAGGACCAAGGACAGATCACCGCACACAGCAGCCCACAACCAGCTGCCTGGTCTACAAAGAAAGTTTTCTCTTGCTGGTTTCAGGTGCAGTCAAGCTCATCCCCGATCACCTGGCCCCTGGAGCATCCCCCCCACCCCCCAAGCAAAGACCTGTTTTCTAGAATTTTGACCCAGAGACTTCTCTACTGCACACACTCCTTGGGTAACTTCTTGATTCTTTTATTCAGAAATTCTTGGGTGGTAGAGTGGGAGAAACCTGGGAGTCAGGACACCTGGGCTCTGATCACCACCCCGGAGAGCCTACAAAAAAATAAAAAAGAATGTAGGTTGATTGGGGAATGAGATTATGAAGAATAACTGTCTTTTCTATGTTTCGAGTTTCTATATTATTATTTAAATTTCTTATTATGGTAAAATATACATAACATAAAATTTATCATTTTAATGATTTATAAGTGGCATTAAGTATATTTACATTGTTGTGTAACCATCACCATCATATATCTCCAGAGCTTTTTCATTTTCTCAAACTGAAATTCTACACCCATTAAATAACTCCCCTTTCTCCCCATCCCCAGCCCCTAGCTACCACCATTCTACTTTCCATCTCTACGAGTTTGACTTCTCTAGGGATCTCATGAATGCGGAATCATACAGCATTTGTCCTTTGTGACTGGCTCATTTCGCTTAGGATAATGTCCTAGAGGTTCATCCATGTTGTATGTATCAGAATTTCCTTTCTTTTTAGGACTGAATAATATTCCAGTGTTTGTGTAACATTTTGTTTATCCATTCATCCATTGATTGACATTTGAGTTGTTTCCACTTTTGGCTATTGTGAATAACACTGCTATAAACATTGGTGTGCAAATAACTGTTTGAGTCTCTGCTTTTAGTTCTTTTGTTATATAATTATACTGATA